TCCAATTTCTCACCTTTTCTAGCTGCAGTTTCTTGACACCTTCCGGCATTGGAAGTTTCATAGATTTCATGGAATATTGTCCATTATCTTTCGCCAGTCCAAGACAAAAATTGTTGTTTGTACCGCAGACGTAAACCTGGAAGCTTCCATATTTAATTCATACATTGACAAAAGAAAGGAAGAAGAATGCTAAACATTCCTACCGTTTTTGGAGTGATGAAAACCGAGTGATGTGGACCAGCAGCAATATCAACAATTGGCAGTGTCTAAAGAAAATAATGACTAATGCAGCCATTCGCATCCTAGGTCCAATAAATTCCTCTTCCCATTAAAATTTATTGGTGCAAAAACACCCACCTCACCAGGAAACGTTACTTTGATTGGACTGACAACTAATTTGCCGCTCTTTTCGTTTGCGTCAAAGTTTGTCGCTGCTCCACACGCGTAGACCTCTCCTTTGTGAGTCAGAAACAAAGTATGAGCTGCAGACATCGATACCTTCTTGACCTAAATTGAAGATAAAAGAAAATCAAAACAAATGTCAATATCATAGAAATGAAAGTGAAACACAATTGCTAAGTTTTCTTGCATGATAAACACTTCAATTGATGTCATCAACTTCCTTGAATTACCACAAACAAGGAAAAAAAACTACAAAGAGAACTCTTACAAACCCCTTCAACCGGAACTTTTCTTGCCTCGTGAACTGGTCCATCAGCTGCCAAGCCAAGATTGAAGGCCGAGTTCTCACCAAATGCCATAGCATATGACGGAAGAAATTCTAAAATGAAGTAAATAGAACCCCAGTCAAGTCACGCTAATTTTGAACCTCTTTTGAGAGGAAGCTTCAGTACTGCAAGTAACTAGCTCTTCAAAGACAATGATTTTTTGGTCTTAATCCAACTAAAAAATTCTATATTCTCGCTATGATTTTTTAAAACTAAAAATGTCTAATAAAAATCCATTGGAATGCTTAATAATGGTGAAAATTTAAATTTCCTTAAATGGTTGCACTAAAAACATTGTTCCATCACAATTCTGGCATGAATTTGTAAAATAGCTCA